TACATTTAAAACGTGTTAATTTAGTGAGTTAAATCAACACGTATTAAGCGTGTTCCAATTTTAAACACTAAGAAACGTATTAAAAATGACTTCAATAAAAACACACGTCAAGTGTGTTAAATTAACACACTTGGATTTGCAGTGTACTTTCCGCATCACGACGAGTCTCGCGAGAAGAGGCTTTCCACCCTTCTCGCGCGCGCGCGCGCGCACCCGCGCGCATCGTTCGATAACTTACGCAAGCCGCGGTAACTGTAAAATAAGAAACGTGCGAGCAAAACGACGCGGATTGTGATTGCGAAGTTTTTCCAAGTAGAAAACACGTCTCGCGCGCGAATAATATCACTAAACGTTTTTTTTTTTTTTTTTTTGGAGTTTTCAGCGCAGCGTTTAATATAGATGTTTTTCTGCTTGTGTTGACATTTTTTTTTTTTTGATTTATAAGATTGCACCAATATTGTTTCAAGCGAACGAAAGCGCTCGCGCAGTCGGCGAAGAGAACTTATGGCATCCACTGTGTTAGTCAACACAATACGACGACCGATCATTTTTACAACCATCACGAATCCCAAAGTTACGACCGTAACTCGCCGTGGATTTGTCGGGGATCGACAGACGCGCCGCCGAAAACGGTAAACAAACGCGAAATGCGATTCCGCACACGCCGTGACATATCCGCGCTCGGTGTTATACGTGACTGCAGTTTTTCCTCTTGAGTCGAGACACGATTTGGTAAAAACGCGTGTCAAGAGAAAAACTATGAAAAGAAAACAAAAAGAGAAAAAAAACGCGGTTTTCCCCGTCGCACGTGTGTATTGATGTGTGGCTCAGATCTTTTATAAGGTTACCTGAGGTTGAAACTGGTCAGGGAAACGTGTCCGGTGTCATAAGCGCGACCACGCAGCACAAGCCTGCAAGTAGTGGACTTAGGCTTGCCTCTGGTGTCGTGGTGACCTGCCCGAACCTTCTCGCCACTCACCTCGAGGTCGCAGCTGTTCACAGCCCCGGGGTCCTTACGGTGGTCGTGCAGGTCGCGGTGGTTGTAGCTGCCGGACTTTATCACCTCGACTGAAGATAGAGAGAACCAATTGTTTTACTTGAGCTTCGATAAAATTGAAATAAAAATCACAATTCCGAAAGATTTCAAGCATCTCGAAAAAAATTATGTAATTCGAGAACCAATAATTTTAAATAATAAACTTACAAGTTTTATTCGTGATATCGGCAGCAATTGTCGTTGGGGCTTCCGTAGTTAATTCTATAAAATTCAGCGTCGCAACGAAGCCGTTGTAATCGAAGGGATGTACCTCAGGACCAGCTCTGTGTGAATAAAATCAAAACACTCTGTACATGTAAGAGAATCAGAAGTCTGTAACCGAACGTTACAAAACAATATATTTAAACGAGAGAGAATTTGAGACGAATCGACGTTTTTGGCGTGATTCAATAAAGAAACACATTTCTCACCTGAACTCGACGAGGAGTTCCGGGCCGTCATGCATCAGTGCTGTTTTCTCTTTACCGCAGAGCATCTTCAGCAATGAACTCGACGTATTGGGGCCCGAATAGACGGCGATGTAGTCACTGGTGCAGTGGCTGCAAACGAGAATATTTCTGTGCAAGATGACTATATGCACTCGGGAAGCAGTTCGAAGGATCTCGGCGCGAGAGACTCCTCCTCATCTTTCTCGCCGGGATAAACGCCGATATAAAGCGAGAGAGGTGGGATGAGAAAATGGGACGCGACAGGAGGACGGCGCAAGAAGAGCGAGGCAGACTATCGAAACGATGAAGAGAATCGTGTACCGATTTATCAGGGAGTTCACGAGGATGAACTGGATTCCGAGGGTGCCGTGGAAGTTTCGCCATTAAGAAAATATCCAATATTACCGGTAAGGCCAGGAGCGGCTGTGCCGAATTACCGCGATGGGATGGTGTGATTTATTTTACGAGGGAACTTCATCGCGCCGTACGCTCGCAGGGACCGATCCCTCACGGCCCGGGATCACGAAAATGCGATTTTAATAATGTGGCCAATTAGGGGGGTCATCGTGGCTTTCCGGAAGAGATTGCCGGTGTCTCCAAATTACCACGTAAACGTCTGATGATTAAAAGTGGGATTCCCCTTCGCAATTATCACCGGCAATGCTATATCGTTTTTGACAAATTCTCGACTCCAGACGGATTTCACAGTATTCCGTTTTAAATGCTAATTAATAATACTCAATATATAATTAATTTAAACAAAGATAAAAATCTTTGAAACCAGACTCGTGAGTTGAAGAATTTTATACTGTATAAATTCTTATTGCGTGAATAATGTCATCGTTTAAATTCTTTCATGCGAATATTGTAATTAGACGAAAACATTGCTTTAAGATTTCTTACAGATTTCGACAGATTCGAGAAAGAAATGTAAATGAGGTTTATATTGAAAGAACCAAAATGTTTGTCTCTGTCCATCATTGGTGTTGGTCAAATCGGCGAGCGCGTCGATGTAAAATAGTCGAAGTGGTATTCGCCAAGATTCTAAGAAGAACTCGTTCTAAACATGTAACAGGTGCTTTACTCACAAACTTTTCTCATAATTCTAATTAATTACCTCGAAGTACGAGCGTAAAGAAATTAATGGGAAAACTTTGTTACTCACGGTTCGATTTTGCCGGCTGAATTTTACAGTTAAAATGAAATTCCATGCTTCAAGTTTCGCTATCTCGACTTGATACACTCTTTCGTGCTATGGTAATCTTCTTCAAGATTCGCAACATTTAACATTAATCATTCATCAGATGTGACGAATCGATTGTAAAATATTTACAGTCCTCGATTAATTGCGTGTTGTTTTTCGTCAATTTTAATTTTTTTTCAACATATTACACACAAACAATCTCTTTATATGATTGCTTTTTCGTTCGTGGCGAGTAATTATTTTTTTTTATCAAGTACTTTTGAATCAATTTAACTATCCAATATTTTACAATCATTTTTTGTAAACATTTTATCTCAACATACACGTGCTACTTTCCGCAACGATATTAAAACGGATTTTCTCGTTCCTCTTCTATTCTCTTCCTTTCTTTTTTCTTTTTTTTTTTTTTCCCAAACGCTCACTCACGAGCTCATCGCCTGCGATAAATTAGATCTCAACCCTTGAACCGCGCGAACAATGAACAGACTGTAATTATTTCCATTAGGAGAAAACCCAGGAGTGAAAGGGGGGGATCTCTGCTGATCAGAGACGGATCGATGCCGCCGCGGAAATAGTTCCGTACGTCATTTTCTGTCCGAGCGGCTCGAACAGCAGAAAATCGGATTCCTCCAGCCCCATTTCACGCGAGGTTCGCGCGTTGCTCGGGCGTGTCGCGGAGCAGAAAAGAAGCGAGAAAATTTCTATCCATCCATCCGTCCATCTATCCACATCCCCGACGGCAGAATCCGCATTGTGCACTCGCGTCCCGGTAACGCTCGTTACAAAATGCCGCGAGATAACGCGCTCCGACACACACACACACACACACACACAAACACATACAGATCCGGAGTAAATTAAAAATTTCCCATCCGGTAGTCTCTTTTCGTCTTTCTTCTCCCCTGTCATTCCTTTTGATTTCTCGCGCTCTGCCCGCGTATTATTCGACGCGAGCACAGGATTTTATGCAAACCAGATTTTCGAGTTGTGTTGCGCAAATATCCTCGTTTGCGAAATCACACAGTCCGTCTCGCGCGCGTCCCGTCGCGATCGCTAAATTATTTTCCCAGAGATCGCCAATACGCGACGCCGATTGGGATGGACACGCGAAAAATCCAGAAAAACCACGGGGATAAAAAAAAGGAGAGAAAGAGAGAGAGAGAGAGAGAGAGAGAGAGAAAAAGAACGGTATACAATCAGCACCGACAAACACATTGTTGCGAAACTTCATCATTCCGAAATATCGTTTCGATATTTTTTGCGGGGAGCGCGAAGTTCCCGCAAAATCGCGAATATTGAAATCAAATGAATATGTACCAGTTCCCAAAAATGTGTAATCTCGAATTTTCGTTCTTTTTTTTTTCGTTTCGCAGACACGTGATTTCCTCTCGCGTTCTGCACTCGTACGTTTTCGGGATATTTCTCCGTTCGTCGACATTGTCAGCTTTTGGGATTTTGCGCGTACTCTTCAATATTTTAGGGAAAAAAAAAAAAAATGATTTTCCTGTTAGCCCGTACATCTCTCCAATTTTGGGATCACGGTTCTTCGGGTCTTCATACGGACGTTTATTGCAATTTATACTAAAACAAGAGAGAGAGAGAGAAATAAAGAGTGCGTATCTTTATTCTGATCGAAGCGTTAGACCATGCAAGAGACAAGATATTCTTGAACGGCCCTTGGGAGTGGCACAAAGTTCCACGGAACATTTTATCCTCATTAATAGCACCTTTAGAAACATAATAGCGGTTCGCTGAAAACCGCTTTCGCTGCTCGCCTTCAGTCTTCTCGACGCGCTGATTATAAAGTGATTAAGGGGGAAAATCCGAATGTGGCAAAAGGGTCGTCTCGGTGATTAGAATGATTTTATTAATTAAATGCACTCCTGAATCACATGTGCGCTTCTGGGATGGAGAAAGGGCCCCATGTCACTAATGATAACCTGTGCAATTAAAACTATCTCTCTCCGTGTATATAAAGGATCGAAACACTTGTAATCTTATATTTCAGTTGCACTTCTCTCCCGTTAATGAGAGCATATAATGTGCTTCCAATTACGATGATTAATGCCGGAGATACGTATTACACACGGTAAAAGCTGATCAAAAATTGATATCGCCCTTTGTTATCTCGTGCAATATATTATGAATTAAGCTCGTAAACGTTCCATAGTTTTATCGCTAATTAATAATCGCGAGACGCATCGGATGTAATGTATGTATGTCGTACATTTTCTCTTACAAAGTTTTATAATTCATTGCATTCATTGTATATACATATATGTAAGCTGTTAATGATTTTCAGAGAAATACGACATCTCGTTGTTATATCGCCGCTTTCTTGACAAGTAATGTCGAAGATCGACGAAGTGAAAAAATCCGCGAAGAGTTTCGCCAAGAGTCGTTTCCTGCGTAACTCAAGCTTCCCTTAGTTTTATTCATTTCACGATCTTGCTCTCCACGATCTATATCGCCTCGGGTTTTTTCCTCCATTCGGAATCTAAGGTGCGCGAATGAATTCACGAACGGGCCGGGGTATATGTTAATCCGGTTGAGATTACATCGTCGTAAAGGCGTCGGTCCGTAATTCCGTTTCCATCGTAAGGAAAGTGCGAGAGAACGCTCTGAAAGCGGCCTTTATGCGAGATTTCTTGACGACGACGACGACGATTCTTCAACAACTTCGCCATATTGAATCCTGGAACGGAGGAAAAAGCGACGGACTTGATTTCGCGCCCGCCGGAGAGACCGGTGATATTTCTGCGATTCGCGGCTCCTTCTCACGAGAGATAATTACGGCCGCGTGGACATTAATAAATTACCATGACGTTATACAAAGAGCCAAGGTGCACTGCGCAAAAGTTAAACGTCAAAGCGGCCGCTGTTGTATCGTTAATCATCGCGCGCTGTGAGAGACGAAGAAAATTCAGTGCGGAGATTAACACAAGCCGCGCTTTTATTAAGATTCGCCGTGCGCGATTTATTGCGACAAATGTAGTTTTGAATCAAGACCACTTATGTTTATTGTTTCATTTTTTGTCACTAAACTTTATACATGTTTCTTCAAATTGTGTGTGTGTCGTAGTATTTTTTGTTTTTTACTAGCACAACACAGGCTCGCGCTACGCGCACGCTGTTGTTGGTTTATTTTAACGTGTTGTGCCAGTAAACTTAACCTATTACCGCAATGACAACTAATATATACGTCTTACAAACCATATAAAACACATAATGTACATATGAGATATGTCAGACCTAACGCATAAACATCAAACTCGATAGATAAAAGAAAAAGAGAGTACAAAACCAGCACGCGACTAATATATTTATATATACCGTAATCACGTGACCAAGGTCAGTGACCTGCTCACAGTCAAGTGACTAAGGTCAGTGACCTCGCCGTAGTCACGTGGCCAGGGTCAGTGACCTCGCCGTAGTCATGTGGGCAGGGTCAGTGACCTTGCCGTAGTCACGCGACTAAGGTCAGTGACCCTGCCGTAGTCACGTGACCAGGGTCAATGACCTCGCCGTAGTCACGTGGCCAGGGTCAGTGACCTTGCCGTAGTATATATATGATATATATAATACAGTAAAAGCTATAATATTATAAACACACGCTTTTTTGGTAGAAATACATTTTTGACGCGTGCAAAAAAAAAAACACTACGCGCGAATCTTGCGCGGCGCGTGTTAAAGATTGCGCGCGTCGAAACGATTGCGCAGAGAGTTGTAACAAATGCAATTACACTAATAATCTCACGGAAAGCAATAACACCGCGCGCACACGCAGCTGCATTAGATGTGGCGGCACGCCGGTGAATTCCGCGTTTATATTACGCAATCAGAGCGGTGCCGGCAGATATCGTATGTAACTGTGTGTAACTAATGCAGTACTATATGCGCGATACGA